GTGGCGGAGGCAGGGGGTAAAGGGGGAGAGACCATTCTGCATTCAAGCGCTAATTAGAAAAATTAGATCTATGAAAGGCAGCGAGTGATCTAGGCCTTCAACCTACGTCTGTGTACCGCTGTAGCAGCACAAAGAGGAGGCAACAATGAGCATTGAGGAGGAGGGAGGGGGGATAAATAATTTAATCCATTATCTACTCTGCAAAGCTCATCAGCACTGCTACACAATGGCCACGATTGAATTGCTGATTGCATTTCTCTCCTACCCTCCAGGAGAAAATGCCCATGCTCCACTATATGCTCTCAGCCTGCCAGCACAACCAAGAGCAAGAGAAAGACGGAGAGCGAGGGAGGGAGAGACAGAGTAGTGTTGAGTGTCTTCCACCAAGGTCAAACTACAATGCAGCAATCTAATTAAGAGTATCAGAGAGTTTCCTGTATGGGGTCAACCTCCCTGTTGTGCTCACTGGCTCATATTGTCCATTTTGTGATACATCTTGTACTCCTACATGTAAATGATGGATGTGATGCTGATTAAATCTTTTTTCTTTCATCCCCCCTTCCATACTCTTTTTAATTGATGAGAATGTTTTAATAGAGTTGTAGCACTGTTGTTTTACTTTGATAGCTTGACCAGCAACATGTACGTGAGTGGAGGTAAGGATTGTCTCTCATGATGATGGTGGGATTAAAACTGTCATGTCAGTAATTTAGGGATCAATTACTAATTATTTTGCCAGACTTTGATGAATCATTCTTTACCTTCCCCTGCTATCATTATTTTATTTATTAGGCATAGAATAAAGTATAGACATGCATGGTCTCCAGAGGATGAACCCTTCTGACTTTATTGATTCGCCTGGCTTTTCAACTGATGTCACCTGCTCACCTTTTTGTCTTTTCCACAGACAAGATCTCAACATCAATGCAGATGATTTACAGAGAATGTTGAACAAACATTCATGGTCTGCAGCGGATGAACCCTACTTAAGTGGACAATCATCTGACTTTTCCTCTACTGCCACCTTGAGGTCCCATTTGTGTCTTTGAGTGTAATGTATTCAATAACTATTGGGTGGATTGCCATCATTGAATGGTACGCACCACATTCATGTCCCCCTCAGGACTTTAAGTACTTCTCATGTGCAACCAACATCAGGTCAATATTTGTATTTATTCAACACATTTATGATCAGATACTCGCTTCAAAAATAACGACACTTCGTCAGCCTCATTTGTATTTTGTGTTCAGGGCTAATTAACATGTTACAATGCTAATAAGCTTAAATAATGGTCTCAAGTGGCTCCGTATGGACCCCTGGGGGCTGATGCAGATACCAATATTAGGAAGAAAAAAACATTTTGAGACTGATATTTATCTTTATTAATATATGAAAAATAGGATGCCGTTATCAAACTGTAATGACAAAGAAAAGTAATTGAGGCTTCATAACAATGGCAACCACCTAAATATAAAGATGAAGGCAACCTAATGAATAGAACTTAAATTGAGAAAATAAACACAAAAATACATCTGTGAAAGTCATGGGTTTTTATCGGCAAAGCGAGAAATCAGTTGGGGTCTAATTAGCAGTACATTTGAGTTACAGCCACAGCTTCCTTTTCTCTAAAAGATAAATGCATACTGTTGAAAATTTACAGCTGTAGTTAAGATATTTCTAGGCTCCTCAAAGACTATGTGGATTAAAAAAAAGCCAGTTTGCTGCACAATAAAAAAGATATTTCATCAGTTTCCCAAGTTCCAACTCTTTTTCCCATTCACATTACCCACTGGCTACTGTCTTTGTTTGGCTTGTTTTCTTGTTTCTTATTGTGCAGTGGTAAGAATATTTTTTTCATCCAGATGGTTACCAGACTTTTTGATGATTCTGAAAAGGCTTTCATAGCAACAATGAGTGCTGTTAAATGACTGTCTGGGGTTTTCAAACACTATTTATCTTGTAGAGAAACAGATGCTTCGTTGAGCGACTCCAGTGTGAGTGTAAAGCTAATAAATGAAAGGCCAGCTCTGGGGTTAAACTGGACCTACGGCCTCAGAGAGCTACGAACATGGCTGCAGACACTTAGTCCTGTGTCACTATCCTCTTCACATTAAATGTCAGTGTGTAACAGGCTAAAAGGCAAGAAACCATTAATGGATGAATCTGGCAGTGCTTTATGAAGGTGATGGCTCCCCCCCATCAACTGCAATCTATCATCTGCACCAGGCTCCGGTAAAATAGGAATATCAGGAACACTTGAGGTTTTCTTGGCCCAGTGCCTCTGACATGCTGGCTTCATTTTACCTTCCATTTCTGTGTGGCACATTTACATAAAACACAGCGAAATGTAGTACACATAATAGTCCCCTTTGGCCAAGCGCTTTAAGGTCCTGTCCACAGTCCCAGTGAGGGGCAGTCAAGCTGCCTCTGCTCTGCTCTGTTTGTTTTATAGAGCAGTAGTTAGACCACTTTGAGGTCAGCTGGCTGCAAAAAACTGTGCTGGGTCTCCCATGGTCTGCTGAGAAAAGGGTCCAAAACCAATCCAGAGAGCCATTTCTGGAAGCCCGGTCAACTTTCATTGACAAAAAGAGGTCATTACTCTGTGCACAGCCTCAGCAATAACAGGAGTAAATGCTCTCGATGGGTTGTAATGGAGACATTTTACTTATGTTAGAGCTGCTGCCCCTGCGGATCAATTCCTCTTGCAAAGGTGCTGCTGCAGGAAGAGGTGCATCACATGAAAAAAAGCCCAAAATGTCCCCTTTCACAACACGCAGCCACATGGGTACTCCATACGCACACCCAGAATTAATTTGAGTGCTGTCATTATGCAAGTACAGCACAAATTGCCCAAGACCAAGTGAATCTATTTATAGCTATCACAAGGCCTGCGAGCCAAGTGTGCCTAATGGTGTAATTTGTATTGTTAATGGTAATGCACTATTAGTTTGTTCCATTTGGCTTTGCACAGGTGCATTAATGGGCTCTGGTGAACCGTTGCAGTCAGTCCAAGCCCACATGCTGTTCTTCCTGTTCTTTCAGCAGGACCACGGCGCCCTCTAGTGGCAGAGAGCACAATGACACGTAATGGGAACAAAGCCAGCACTTCAAACACAGGCTGGAGCCAAGGTTATGCGAGAAGTAGGTTTTTTTTTTTGGTCTTTCTCTTTTTTGCTGAGACAAAAGCCAAACCTTTTGTTCAACTCCTAAAATCAAGAAGTCTTATTGTGACAGGCAGACCTGCAGAGTCCTAAACGTGCACAAGTGCTCGAAGTCATTAAAAAACAGCAGCTCCCACATGCAGCTGTCTAACAACAACAAAGCAGGATAGACTTTTGAAATATTGTGTTCCTAATTAACCTTCAAGCTCATCAGCCACAATCAATATAGACCGCGGCCTTTTTTTCTAATTGAGATGAAGTAATTATCACACTGTATTCATCTCGTTAATGAAACAATGTTCCAATATGCCTGCAGCAAAACTGTTAATTGAGTTCTATTTTCTGAGACGAGCAGCCTCTCCTTGTGTCCATGGCCACAAAGCGTCAAATATGGGTTGGGGCCTTTGTGCTTGTCTCTGTGTAGACACAAGAACAGGCTGTGGACTGGTGGAGCGTGGTGCCGCTCTCTCTCCCTGCAGACACTCGCCCTCCCTCCTGTCTACTCTCCCATCAGAGAGGAGGCAAGAGTTGGTAATACTGCTGACTTCAGCAGATCATCCCATCCCAGTCTGTTATTTCACGGTTTCAGTGGTTAAGTACTCCCTGTTGAGTAAGATATAGCGAGGCAATTATTCTGTAATTATGGAGCCAAAAGACGAGAAATGGAGTCAAGAGTTACTGGGCTCATGCAAATCACTGTAAGAGACCAAAAAAAAAATCAGGCACAACATACGAGTATTTCAGACCCTTCTTTTCTGTTTGTGATGCAAAGAAAGGCTAAAAGACAGAACCGACTGACTCAGAACCAAATAAATCTATTTAATCAATCAACTAGTCGTCAATAAAGACAAATATTTAAATGTAATGATTCTTAGCTTTTCATTTTAAATCTTTAGGTTTTAGACTGTTGGTCGGACAAATCAATCTTAGGATGCCATCATGAGATTTAGACAATTGGCTGTTTTTACTGCTTTCATTGAATTGATTGAGGAGAAAAAATGGATTACTATTAAATTTTGTATCCTCCATCATGATTTTAATGACATCCTGACCCACCACCAACACCTTCACAGTTTGAGTGGCATTAAATATTCAACGCACTGTAATAATTTTATTTCTTTATCTCCAGTGCCATCATCAGGTTAGGATGCTAAAGTGCCACGTATGTTTGTTAACCTATTTAATATTTTATCTGGTGAACACTAGCATGTTACTAGTGACTAGAACATGTTTGCATGCTGGCTTTAGCAGTTACCTCAAAGCTTTGCTAGTGTAGCATCAATTATTCAGTATAACAATTACGATGAAACCAGCAATAATCTATAGATTCATGAAGGCCTAATTACACACATGGTCAGTTTCAAAGAATTTTGAACTTGCTATTTCTCTGAAGTATTGAAAAAGGAGCATAGGGTGATATATTTAATGTTAATGTACTACTATGTAACAACTACTATCTGTGGAGGTTCAGCCTTAACTTCATGATGTTGGACATGACAAACAAACATAAATATCGACATCCAAGTAATGTGCAATGAAAAACTGACAAAGTCAGAGTGGATGATGCTGCTACAACTTCAGCCAGTCTGTGTCTTAGTGCAAATGGAAACAAACTATTCTTAAAATCTCTCTGTGCACACCCCCCGGGGTTAAAGAAGTACAATAGCAAACAGAAAATCATTGCTAAAAAATATGCTTGTTCAAGATTGAGTAGTGCCATTAAGAGTGCAGTGATAACTAAAGCCTCTTTCTGCTCATCAGTGCCAACAGGAATCGCATGACACGAGCACACACAATAGACACAATCGAAAGCAAAAAATAGAAAGACCAGAGATATGAAAGTTTTGTATTTAAGCTGTTAATGAGCAAAAACAGAGCAAAAACAGGAAATGCATTGAAGAATTAAGTAAATACACAAAATAAGAGGAATCATGATTGTGGGATCACACTAAACAATAAAACCGTCTTATACATTGCATTAAAGGCACTATCACTTCAACCTCTCCCCTTGTGGCACACAGCAGTATATAACCCTGTGACCAAGTCAAATATCCATTAAACCCTGTACAAACAATCTAGTCACTGTTGATTAGTAACTTCCTCCAGCTCCATGTGCTCTTTCCACAGGTTAAAAAACAGCAGCAATCAGTTATATCAAAGATGCACGTCACTATATCTGTGATAAAATACTTATACAATGTGTTAAACGTGTCTATATCTTGAGAACATCTCAGTGGGATAAAAAAAAGTACTATTCACGCATCAAAGGATGGTTCAATCTATGTTCTGTTGCTATCATTTGGTCCCAAAACACAACACTGTGTTAATGCAGTGTGTTATGTTTTGTAACAGTTACATCTTCTGTCATCTGTAAACAAGTACTGGTGCAACTAAGCTGTAGTGTTCAAAGAAAGTACTAAACCAAAATGTTTGTTTCAACTTCCAATGAAAAACAAAACACATTTAAATGTGATTTAAAACTTGTTGGACTAGCTGAGGTTTGAGTTGTTTTAATCACAATGATCCAACTAAAAACCAAAACACATTACTTGATAATCCTCCTCGTGTTTGGCTCTTCAGACGCAGCATGTTCTGCTATGAGCAGTGATTCTTTCTCACAGCTCAGACTGACAGTTTATCCATGTTAGGTTTCCTCAACAGCTGCACAGCAATAAAAAAACTCAACACATTCCTCATAGAAATTCCACAGTACAGTCTGAAAAGGCCTTTCTGTACTTTAACAGGGTCAAAATTAGAAAACCAGGAAAAGCTGCAGTACAGGAACAACAAATCCAGCATTCATGTGTCCCTTTGTGTCCCAGTGTATACGACTTGTAATAATGTTTTGGTCCGCACAGCCCTTGTTACTATATTCTGGCTCCATATTCATTTCACTTTGGGGTAGATCTTTTCATAGAAGAAGCTCTGGCCCAGGACATTAAGTTCTCCATCCTTTTCCCTGACAGCGTGTGCACGCACAAACTGAAACTGCTCAAGCGCAAACTCGTAAAACTCATTTTCGATTTTCCAGATGTTGGACTGCTGCAGCTTGGCTTTTGTCTCTTTGGTGGGAGGCTTCTTCTCGGTGGTCTTTCGCAGGTGGGACTTCTTCCCTGGGGTAATGTAAGACAGTTTAGTGAGTCTGTTGGTCAGGGCAACACAGGGTTAATACTGACTGGGAATGTGAGGTGAGATAAGGTGCAGGGTGTTTGATACCTGTCCTGTAGAGCTCTGTGGCGCCCTTGAAGAAGCGGGGCAGTGCTGCTTCCAGGATCATGATGAAGTCCTCCAGCTCCTCAGTTACTCCAACCAGCAGATATTCATTCACCAGGTTGTACTTGGCCTGTTCCAGGGCCCATCTACTGCCTGCATTCCTGCACACAACATGTTGAACATAAATCACTGCAAGTACACCCGAGATTAATCCAGTTGGTGTTTCTACTGTGTTTGCCCTGATGTATGTGCAGATAGAATTCAGTGATTGACTCTGTTTGCCTCATGTCTCTCATTAGTTTTTAAATGTACTGTAGAACTGTCATATGCATGATAATAATACCAGTATGCTGGTAACTCAAATCGCAGAATGTTGTTGTGGTCAGTGTCGTGCAGGTTCACACTTGAAAAAAGATGCTGAAAGTTCAGTTTATAGGGATTAAAAATCATTCACAAAACTATTTCACATTAATAGCTGACATTTTTCAAGTTTGAACTAAGTTCACAGTCCCAATAATTAACAAGTTCACGCTCAAAGCTTTTATATTGAAGACTAAAAAAACACTAAACAACACTTACTGTACATAACTGTCTAAGAATACAATTTCTACTATATATTGTTTTTCCAGTAATTGTGTTCACAGAAAATCTGAATGTGTTTGCTTCATAGGTTAAAGGTATAGTTCACTTATTATCTACTCACCACTATGCACATGGCAGCGAATTTGTTCAACTCTGATATATATTTACTGTAACTATGTTGTAATGAGGAGAGTGCAGCCCACTCACCAACACTCTGAATGGTGGCCACAGAAGAAGGGGATCTGGAGCCAGAGCTTCTCGGGAGAACAGTCAGACCCCCCTGATGACACACACTCATCAAAAGTCTAAAAGACAAACACAGACATGTGCTCATGAATGAATGTGCCGACAAACTTGAATTAAAACATAATCACTTTATCTTTGAGTCCAAGTGACAACTGATCAAAAGTTGAAGAAACTCCCTCAAGCAGTCTCGAGACATCACATTCAAGAGACCAAAAATATGTTTTTTGAAGCCACCATGGCCTTGACCTTTGACACGGATATCTAATCAATTTATCAGTGAGTCCAAGTGAATTGTGTCAGATGTAATAAAATTCTATATGGTCAGTCCTAATAAGTCACATTCAAAGTAACAAAGGACACTGTGACCTTGATCTTTGAACACAAAAATCTTTAAGTTCATATTTTATTTCAAATGAGAGTTTGGCCTTCCCTCAAGCTGATCTTAAGATATCACGTTCAAGAAAAACATACACATACTTTGTAAGGCCACTGTGACCTTTGACCATCAAAATCTAATCAGTTCATACCTAAGTCCAAGGGAATACCACATTTGAGGGAATTCCCTAAAGGCATTCTTGAGATTTCACGTTCACAGGAATGAGAAGAACGGACGGATGGACAACCCGAGAACATCTGGCTGTCACAGGCATAATGAAAAGGCCAGGGTAACTGTAAATAAAAACCTTTTTGTCTCCTTGCTTTCTTCGTCGAAGGCCAGGTCTGTAGTCGTCTCCAAAACGCAGGAAGTAGTAATAGGACACCAGGCGCTCGATAGGGTCTCGCACCACATTTATGTACAGGGGCTTCTTCTTCGTGCCATATCTACACAAAAAGAAAAGGGTTGACAAATAGAGAGACCAAAAGACACGAGATCCAAGGCAGTCACATTTCTACACCAAGTTTATTCCACTTAAGAATCAGCGTCTCCATCAGTGAAAGAGTGTCAGCATCAGTGAGGACTGAGACAGGGACTTCACAGGATCCCTCTCACTGAAAAACACTTAGACCATTAGGGTAATTACCTGTGATGACTAAGTGATACTGTTGGAGGAGATAAGCACAACAACGTGATTAATCAACACTAAAGCGCACGTTAAGCAGTCAATACATGACATCCCTTTATCTGCTCCGCTAACTGTTTGTAACTAATGTGGAAATTAATGGTATTACAGGAAATGAAGGGCCTTACTTTGAGAAGTCCAGATAAGCTACATGGCCGTGGTAGAGGCTGGGGTTCATCTCTCTCCACGAGGTGACATTCCTGACAAAGCGCACCTGTAACCAGAGATAACAGAAACGTTTTATGGACAGAAGCTGCAGGAGAAGGTAGAAAGCAACAACAAAATACAGGGCTCCAAGCTCAAGTGGCTGCTTTGGTTGAAGTTGGCCCCTTTTTTTTAATGCTTGTAAGTCTTTGTTCTTATTTTCAAGCATGTTAAAAGGCAGGTTTGTGGACACAGATTTTTTTAGATAATATATTGCATTTACATCAAATTGGTTTAAGAAAACTGTGCTGGCGACTGGTCAGACTTAAGAGAAGACTGAAAGCAGCTAAAACCAGAGTTTCTTTAATAAAACCAGGGCTCACAAGACCTGACACTTGGGTGACAGATCTCCTCTTCAGTTCAACTATGAACTGAAGCACCAAGACAAGACAACACTGTGTGCGACTTCAGGACAAGTCTCTGACTGTCCCTCCTAAGTGGTCCAGTCAAAGCCCGGACTTAAACCCTGTATATCCTCTGTTGAGTGACCTGAGGATAACAGTTTACAGATGCTTCCCATCAAATGTGACAGAGCCTGAAAGGATCAGCCAGAGAGGATAAACTGCCTAACTCCAGGTGTGCACAGACTTAGCCAAGAACACTCAAAGCTGTAGCTGCTGCCAAAAGGCTTCTAGAAAGAAACTGATCCGAATGTTTGGAAATGAGAGACTTCAGTTTTTGACTTTGAATACATCTTTCTATAAAACAATTCTTATTAAACTCCACTAATTTCAGCCACTATGTAGAAGCTTTCTCTTCCATTGTATACAAATGATGCAGATGACTCACTTTCACTTACTGCAACAGTTTTTAAACCCTGAAACACATATAGATGAGGAATTAATGTACATTAAATCCTGCAGACTTCCTCTCAGATTACATATGGTTCCAACAGGTGTCAAAAAGGTAAGGTGGACTGTATGACGGTCAAATCCTCGGGCTGGAAGGAGACAAACACACACACTACTGCTGCTGCTGCTGCTAGTGGTAAATGATTGAAGGCAACTCAAAACATCTTTTTAAACTCAGTAAATCTATATCTGGATTATAGAAGCAGGGCAAGTCAAACTGAAACTATATGTGGTATTTGAAAAGGGCAGAAGCCCCAACAGAAATGTCACCCTGTGTGAATCCATTACATTACATTTCATTTAGCTGAAGCTTTTATCCAAAGCGACTTACAATAAGTGCATCAACCAAGAGGGAACAAACCCAGAACAACAAGAATCAAGTGAGTACAATTTGCTTCAAAAAAGCCAAACTACAAAGTGCTACATGTAAGTGCCATATAAGTGCAACAATTTTTGTATTTATTTTTTTGAATTGGTTATTAGACATCATCTTCTTCACCAAGGTGTAGTCAGAAGAGATGTGTCATTAGTCTGCAGCAGAAGATGTGTAGACTTTCTGCTGTCCTGGTGTCAATGGGGAGCTCGTTCCACCATTTAGGAGCCAGGACAGCAAACAGTTGTGATTTTGTTTGGTGGTTTGCTCTCAGTGAGGGAGAAGAAAGCCGATTGGCTGGTGCAGAGTAGAGTGGACGGGCTGGGGTGTAAGGTCTGACCATGTCCTGGATGTAGACTTGACCCGATCTGTTTACAGCATGGTACTCAAGTACTAGAGTTTTCAAACGGATGGTAACCAGTGACGGGAGTGGAGGGGAGGAGTAGTGTGAGTGAATTTAGGTAAGTTAAAGAACAGTCAAGCTGCATTCTGATAGTACGAGCGCGAAGACCAGTCAGGAGGGAGTAGCAGTAGTCTAGGTGTGGGATGACAAGAGCCTGGAGCAGAACCTGTGCCGCCTTCTGAGTGTGAAGGGGATGTATTCTCCTGATGCTGTGCAGCATGTATCTACACGAGCGGGTTGTTGCAGTCATGTTGGCAGTGAGGGAGAGTTGACTGTCGAGTGCCACACCCAGGTTCATTTCCCACAATAATTCTTTCTACAACATGGTTTTATGGATATGATTTTTCGACAGCAGTTTATATCTCATAGAAAGCTGTTTTCAGACATGAGCACACTTTGCCTTTCAAATATGAAGAACACAGCAAGAGTTTGTCAATGTCCAGAACGTTCAGGTGGAGGGTGGTGGACATGATGTATTCATTCCCCTGCAGAAATCATGTGTTCTGTGTGCACCTTCGTCCCACATGTCCATAAGCTCTCAAATCTCATTGTCTTTCCAAGTTGTCATCTGCATCTTTTTCATCCTGAGAATTTGTATCCTTCCAGTTTGGTGTGTGAATATTCCTGCTGTATTCGCACACAGACTCACTTGGACATTTGCAGGCATTTTGCTAGAGGGCTGGCGGGAAAAGTTCCAGAAAACTACTGGAGCAACTGACTCAGGCAGTCTGCATGTCTGCACTTACCCTCTTGAAATTTTCAGGAAAATGTCCAGACATCAGTGCAGCTTAAGGGAACAGAGTCAGTTAAAATCTAAGAGATGCCCTTTTAACTCCTGCTGTGTTCTACCTCCATTCTTTACAGTTTTCTTGAACACCAACTCCGTGGTCTGAGAGGGTAAAAACTATGACAAAGTCAAACAGACTCCCCAATGTTGGACAAGCTAAATGCTATTACTGGAAACAAGTGAGAATGTTCCTGTAGTAAAATGAGTCTCAGTGTAATGTATCAGCAGACTCATTTTCCCCCCCCTTCGTCTCTAAAGAAGTAGAGTGAGAAGGCAGACAGCAGCCAAAAATATCATGAGTATAACTTCAGGGCATTTCCATGATGTGTCCTAAGCTGCACTGACAGCAGTATAAACGCAGCCAGTGTAACAGGCAGTAATGTGTGCTGATGCCACATTTATTCTCTGGAGCTTTAAAGAGCATGCACAGACTCTGTATATTTGCCCAAGAATAACAACATTTTTCTTCTAACCAAAACATCAATGTTTCAGGAATTCAAGAACTTTGTTTACATTGTGCAAGCGCAACAGATTTACGAAAGTCATCCTCAAATTAAATTGTGCCTGTCATAAACATTTACAAAGGAAATATTCAAATATGTGTAAAAATAAGCAACTATATTAAAAGTGTTGCTTATTTTTGTGAACTGTGGAGACAAAGGTTCTCAGAAGAAATGGAAACATACAAAGAGTAAGAATAGACAAGACAGATCACCAACTTAAAGGTACAGTGTGTAGAATTTCGTGATATCTAGTGTTGAAGTTGCATGTTGCAGCTGAACACCCCTCACCTCACCCTCTCCTTCCAAACATGAAAAATATCCTGTGGTAGCTTCAGTTGTCATAAAAACTCAAAAGGTGTTTAGTTTGTCCAGTCTGGACTAATGTAAAAAACATGGTGGCCTCCGTAGAGAGGGTCCCCTCCATGTAAATATAAAGTATTTAAATATAAAGGGCCTTTTCTGGGGTAAAGAAAACTACAGTTCATACAATTTAGATGAAATGAACTAGTGAAAACATCATGAGGATTATTCTACATTAAATTTCTGCCAATAGATCCCTTTCACCTAAATCTTACACACTGCACCTTTAAGAGAAACAGGGTGAATCTAGTCATGACTCCAGAACATCACACTGCGAGAGGGTTTCAAAGATGGCCGACAGAAATTTATGAAGACCATCTCACAATGAGATACGACCAACATATCTAACGAGCAACCTTTTTCAAGGCACAATGGGCCTAACATTCTCCCCCTGCTGTTAGGATGCTTAATATATTAAACACAAACTATTACATGGGGGGGGGGGCATTCTTGCTTGGCTTCATTGTTCATCAGTATAGTGATATACACTGAATATGTTTTATTCTGTGTATTAACTTGTCTTATAGCCAATGATTCAGAAGTTCTTATCATTGTACCTGATGTCACAACCTGATAGATCCACGTGACACAGTGTGGCTTGTTTTAAAAAAAACCTGAAATATCACAGCCAGTAGACACCTTACCATTTGTCTTAAGAACCACAATTTTGTCTTTCTCTCTCAACAATGAAACAAAAAGTTTTAAGACAGTGAAACATTAGCTGAATTTTAAGAGAGGCTTTAAAAAGACTGAGGCTGTGCATTTCTACAAAGATGCTGTGAACAGCCCTGTGAAACAAGGGATTAATGGTTTGTGAGACAACTGCGCTGCAATTCACTCCTGTAACAGCTGCTCTAATATTCTTAACTAACAATCAGCAATAATGAGGATTGTATCATCAACAGTCTGTGAGGATCCTTAAAGCAGGGCAGAAGGTGGAAAACAAAGGTTCAAACATTATGAAAGTGGCCTCACTCTATAACTGGACCCCAGAGTTTTTAGCCCGCAGATTAAATATATATATTTTTTTTAAGTCTCTTGAGACACATTATCTCTTTCACAGGAGGGACCTGAGCAAAATGATGATGCAAAATAAGTCTCACATAGTTGATCTAGTGAGCTGTGTTTTTTTTGTAAACCAAATGAAAACATGATTCAAATGTGTTGTAAAGACACAACATAATTAGGTGAATTAAATATGAGCTTCTTAAAACAAACAGAAACAAAAAGTAGCATGTCCTTCACCAGCAGTGGTACTGTCTGCATGGAGACAGCGATTGTGTGTCCTTAATAATCATGGGAGAAAAACTGTGATTTCCAATCATACAGACCTATATTTTCCTTAATTATCTATTTATATCAGTGACAGATGTTAAATATATGCAATGCTCAGGCTAAAGTATAAAATCCCATGTAATTTTTCCCAAGTATTAACACTCCTGTATTCATGTGAACAATGCTTCATGTTATAACCATGTTAAAACCCTGACCATGAAAACAGGGTATTTTTAATTTCAGATTTCCAGTTATGATAAAGGATAAAAGACAAATGATAAAAGATCATCAAAGTGCCCACTGTTGAGACTAACTATTACTGCTGTAATTACTGACATTGTACATGTTTTGTATTGGACGCTGACGTCTCTATTGGCTCGTTCTACTTTGCACTACTGCTTGTAAATGCATCAATCCCTAAGTGTTCTTACCTGGTCTTGTACAGACATCACAGGGTTGTTTTTGGTCGTGTTGATGTGCAGGACGTGGAAGTGATTTTTCCCACACAGGTCGTAGGCGATGTTAGTGAAGGATGTGCTCGCAGTCTTGGGCACTCTGTTGTAGATGATGACTATGTCATCTTTTTCTGACAGTAGTGAGATTTCCCGCCCGGTACTTTCGCTGTGACGCTGCTCCACTTCAGCTACCTCGTGTCTGGCAATGGCAAGTTCTGAGGAGGCACAAATTATTGTATTTACCATTAATGATCATATATATATATATATATATATATATATATATATATATATATATATATATATACCTTTGAAATGACATTTAAATGAAGCAAAATCTGATTGTTGTTATTTCCAAATATCTCTGAACTAAATCAATATAATTATTATGAACTGGCTGCTTTTCTCTTCTGTCTGGCTTTTAATGAGTGAATCAGATGAAGCCTATTGTTATTCTCATTCAGCCGAACACACAGCAGGTGTGAGACCAAAGACAAAGGTACATCTTTTGTATAAATGAACAAGTTGTTTTAAAATTAGGGCCAGCGAGGAGTGTTAACACTCCTTAATTAAGGAAAACAACATAGTCCTTCAAAAGACAATAACATCAAAACATGTCATTAAGCTTTTGATGATAATTTTGACAGGAGACATAATTAAAATCTCAAAGGGTTTTCTCTCACTTCTTCTCTCCAAGGCAGTGTTAATTAAAGCTAATTACAGCAGCGGTCTTATGAGTGTCTCTTACGCCGATGTAACGCAGACATCATGCTGCCCAGCTTCAGTGTCTGACATCATGAAGAGATAGAGAACTGTTTATGCTTCTCCATACTTTACACTTCTTGACTCCTGCTAATGTGCTATTAGGTATGTATGGATTGATAAACCTCATTCCACTCAACAGTCAGCCTTACTGGACTGCAGAATGGAAAATGTTCTGAGTACTACTGTACTGTGAACCAAAATAAGACGATTAAAATCCAGCTCGACTATGTGGCTGCTGATGTCTACAATGATCGATTGACATTTGAATATTAGTTAATGAAGGATTCAGTTCCAATGCTCTCATTTCTAGACTTGCTCAGGTTTTTATCAGCTTTCTTCATTCAATCTATTAAATCTGCTCATATGACAGACTTTGAGTGGATTGGCTTTCTCTTAGTTGACATTCCAGCCAGCAGTCTCTACCCTTGAGATGAATTTAAATACAGAGGCCAAACATACCACTCATAAATTTGTCTAAAAGTAAATGAAATACATTTGCCTCCTAGCCCACCGTGAGCTATTGAAAGGCTACAGTATTTAATAATCATTACAGGGCTGATTTACAGTAGATGCTACTTCCAGGATTCCAAAAGAAGAATACAGTGGGGAATATGTTTCTGTTCCAACTGAGAGTATATTTATAGGATACATATAATGCCATATTCCCGAAATTTAAAAATAGGCATTGAAAGGGTGAACTCAGTGTTTGAAAGCTTGAAATCTAACATTTTATTATTTTTTAGTTTTGCATGATTGAATCTAAGTTTTGAAGTCTTGCATAATTAAAGTCTCAGAAAAAAATATTTTGTATTTGAGTTTTCCTTCTTCAAAACTGCAACACACATTGTCAGAGTTTTGAATTTGTCACTGCTCTCCCAGTGAATTTATTTTCCACTGGTTGGAAACCTTGTAAACAATGATCTGAAAACTGATGCACTTCCTTTGGAAAAAAAGTTCTGAAACTTTGAAACGTGAGCTTTGAAAAAGCAAATCTTTATTTTAAAACTTTGCAGACATACACCTGCACTCCTGCTGTGATCGGTTTTCAGAGATGAGTTTGGATTACCTGCTTTTCAGAGATAAGCTCACACATTTGCAAACTTGAGAATCACATGAGTTTAGTCAGCTCTGTCCCACAACTCTGGTCTGAAACTCTAAAACTGATGCACTGGGAGAGCAGTGAGAAGTTTGGATGTATGAACATGTTCTGGGAGAAACACTTAAGTGAGCGCTGCAGGTTTACAGAGGGAAAAGTCAAGAGAAATGCAAAATATTTTATTAGACAAGTCTCAATCTTTGGAAGCAATTTTTTTCAGTTTTGGAAAACTCCATGAAATTGATCGCATACATATTCATTTTAAAAATTCTTCAAACTGGAACAGACCTGGTGATTGCAAATGGATTAGGCTTTAAAATGTCACTTGTTAAGCTACATTGATTATACATACACTGGCCTCGTTCAGGATATATTGTGACAGCAGAGACTGACGGTGAGGACGCATTAGGAGGACAAAAGAAGTTACTCCATCTTAAATTGGAAAGTGCTTTTGTACTCTTCATAAGTCAGTGGCTGCTGGTTTATTGTGATGCAGTCATTTGCGTCCATTTAAACAATCCATATGTCTCCATAGTAAGTGAATTTTGTTTGCTCAAACTTGAGTATTTGTATGAACGTCCAGGCCCCTCTGTGATGATCTGTGCTTCAAACCCAGACACTAACTTCACTCCAACATTGCAAAGTCTCAAACTGCACTTTGAATGAGCACAGCAGCACCAAGCTGATGCTTCCGAAGTTAACCAGCTTTGTTTGGGTCTTACCGAGTTTGGCTCGTGACTCTTCCAGACTCTGGATCTGGTTCTCGATAAAGAGCATCGCCACTCCAAACGCCATAACAGCCAGCAGCTGGATCTTAGACGGCACCATGATCCTCAGAAACCCCATCGATCAGTCAGCCAGGTGAATCATCAGGGACACAGACCGGGAGAGGTCCACTGCTAAAGGCTAACTCAACCAAACAGCGACTCGATTATGCCACTGACCAACTTCAGTCACTTTAAACTAAATCTGATCGACGTTAGCTATTTAGCGCCATCATGTGTTACAGGGATCAGGTCTGCGGGATTAACTCGCCTTTAGTCAGACGAACTACAAGCAGCTAGCTTCTCTGCTAACATTGTGAAGCCACGTAAAGCGCACACGAGCGTCTCCTAAGGAGGAACACCGCGGTCAGTCCGTGTTTTGAATCCCCGCAGACAGCTCGCACACTCCGCGAAGCTCCGCGTATGTGAACACGACTTGAAAGTGAAATAAAACCATCTTTTAAAAGCGGCTTCAAACAGCAGCTGAGCTCCGCAGCGGCTCGTTGCTGCAGCTGCTAGCGTCACTGACACGTAGCTTCTTCGGGTTTACCGGAGCGTCAGCAGCCAGTGGTACAGATGCAAGGCGCCATCTGCTGGACTGGAGGGTGAACCGTGACACACACAGGACAACGAATACATACAAAGAACAGAGGTTAAACACGTGCTCTTGAGTTTTCCTGAACATTGTAAGGGGGATCATATATGACTTAAGTATAAATACATGTAGAAATAAATGTGGAAATAAATAAATGAATGTCTTAATTTTATTTCCACATTTATTTATTTCCACGTTTATTTATTTATGTATATCTGTGTCTGTGTGCTAATGAGAAAGGTGGTCCTGACCTCAGTCTCATGCAGGATTGGTCACAAGAGTGTGATGATCCAGTTCTACTACTTCTGCCTGTCAGTACTGACCTGTGCAGTAGCTGCTGTTTGCAGTGTTGACTCAGTTCACACTTAAAAATAACAAGTTAATAGTTCATTTTTTATTGGGATGATTTAGTAACAAACTTATGATCATGTGTTTAGTTGTTAATCGATGGTGTCTGATCATGTCTGCGTGTCACTAAGGTCAATTTATCACTGAGCCCTGACTGCGAGCGTCTCCTCTCATGTTGAACTGAGCACAACATGTTGACAAGTCATTTTTCATGATGTTTAAATGAGTCTCATAAACTCTAGAAACAAACAAACACTAAGTTACTTCATGTACTGATCAGGTCCTGATAACTAGTGATGAGCGTTTATTAGTTAGAGTGAGAGCAGGTCAGAGTGGAGGAGGAATCAGAATTAACTAGTTTGACTGTGACTGTACAGTGACTGTATTTCACAGTATTTAGACAAAAAAGTTTAATAACTTATCATTTCCCCCCCAAAAAATGAATTAAAGAAATATGTGATAAGTATCATTTTAGAATTGATCTGTGCTTGAATTAACATATACTTCTAAATTGCAGCTTAAAGGTTACAGCTTCAAAGGTCAAACAGAAGTTGATATTATGTAGAGACCACAGATGTGGTACAGTCTCATATGAGGTTTCCTCATCCCCTGTGAGGAGGGAAGTAAACATAGATCATTTACCAGATTATCGGAAAAATGGGAATTTATCTGGTTACCACAAGTTCTTTTTTATTTTTTTTCTGTGTTTGAAATCGTGACAACACCTGCTTGGTATGTAACTAGGGCACAGAAACATTTCAGAAGATGTCTGTCTCCATCCATTTGCAACAAGCTCTGAAAGGCCCAGTGGCAGCCAGTAGATGAACGTGCAGGACATAGATCCTTCTTACAAAATGTATTTGTTTTCAACTCCTGCCTCATGTTGTGGTTTGGCTGTTTGTGTTAACTTTAGACCATTACCTTTGTCACTACAATGAATTGAATCATTTTTTTTGCCTGCCCTTACACTCATACAGAATATTACAAATCTAATACTCCATCTTTCCCCCAGGTGGATTTGGCATGAGATGCTCAGCTGAAGATTTTCCAGGCAGAAGTTTTCCTCACACTCACAGACACATACATTACATCTCTGAATGGTCAAGGCGAAGTTCTCCACAGGCCCAAGTCTCTTGTCTTGTGATAACAAGTTAGTTCTTCTCCTCCTATGCTATTCAACTTGTATATTGTTACAGATGCCATTAATGTGGCTGAGCTTGATGTGGCGTGTCCCAGCTTCCACCCACAGCTGCCCAGCTCCTTTGTTTCACTGCCTGCAGGGTTTGTGCTGCCTCAGCTCCAACACAGCTGTTGTCTGAGCTGGAGCCTTTTTCCATTGACAGCAACAACTGTGACTGGAACTCCATTTTATCTAGCGTCACTAGAATTTATATGTTGCTGCTGAGACCTGATTCCTTGCTATCAAAGATAACATAGGACCTGAGGGACATGGAGGGAAAGGTACCAAACGACAGCAGTCTACAGCTCTGTATCCTTAAATTCAAGATACAAATGTCAGATTT